AGGTTGCTCTTCGACTGTCAGGTCAGTTTTACTACTTGGTGGGATTTAAGCTGCGTTCCGTACTGGCCGAACCAAGCTTGAGAGTGGAAGCAAGGCAGGATGTGAAAGGTGCTTCGCACAAAGGTTAGCGTATATGCCAGAGTTGGGGTCACAAACAAGGACAACTCGATGTCCCGGTGTGGTTTTGTGTAAATCTCTTAGTGATTGTTGGTCTGTAGACGTAGCGATACAGAAATGTATCTTAGATCGATCGGTGTCATCGCTGCGCGAGGAGGGAACAAACGCTCCAGGGTTAATTGCTAGCGTGGTGATGGGCAAAGGTAATGGTGCATCCGATTCGCGTAATCATAAAATCTGGCAGGCTATCGAATGATACCGGTGCGCGAATTGGAGGTGCACGACTGTACCCGATTGGAGTGGAATCTGCAAAACTTGTCTGCAGCACCGATTTTTAAATTGATGTTATCCTAGCAAATCAGCGTGTGCCTCTCCGATGGCCTTAGCTGCAAATTTTATCGGCTCTTCTTCAGGGCCATGACCCCTACTAGTAGCGAAGAAGTGTGCGAGATCGCCAAGTATGAATGGCGTAAGACCTTTTTTAATATTCCAGCAGATGGGAGAACGAAGTAGAAAGTAGATACCGCGAGATGCTATGCCGCGGCCACTATAGACTATTAGTCTAGGAAGCGGTAAGACATTAAAGAAGCCCGGTGATGGCTGTAGTTGATCCAAGTTGCAAGTGACATCGAAATAAGGTAGTGCACTTGTAAATTGCGATGCCCAATTGCATGATCCCCGCTGATTGCAATTTTTAATTACACACTTTTCAAATCAAGTTGGCAAAATTCTCAAAGCGAGTGAATTTTTACACAAAATTAAAGCATCAGAAAAAAGTCATTTCTCACATAGCGAAAATTCTACTAGTGGACATCACGATCAAGTGAATATGGCTTTATATCGCTGGAACCTCTACTTGTCTTGTTCCATGACCTCTCCTCTTGAGGCCACAAAGAAAGTGTTCAGACAATGACGCTCCACACGCCAGACCAAACGACGCATAATAGAAGGCTTCGCCACTTCCACAGCTTTTTCCAGCAGCGCCTGGTGGCGAGCGCAGAATGTGTCGTACTCGCCTCTTAATAGGAATCCCTCCTTACGCTTGACAATGAATCACCACATCTTTGCCTTGAGCACATTCTAGCAGCCCTCAATTGGGTTCAGCATGAGACTGAAAGGTGTTAGGCGCAACACGACCAGTTTGGAGCTGCTCACGATGCCGTTCCCCGTCTACTACAACCCGATTCGGCAGTACAACAAGGACAAGCCCCACAAGGGGGGGACGAAAGTGTTTGTGGCGGCATGTGCAGAAAGGGCATATTGCTTAAGGTGCGTGCAATTATTACGGTGGCAGACTCCGGTCTTGCCACTTTTGTTTTAGTCAAGATGCTTTTGACGACTTGCAGTCAACATAAGCGATTGATTGGTAAAGTATTGTTCAACATACGCTAACATCGTCTTTCTTATTCGTGCCACAGGAATGAAATTTACTGCGGAGCCAAGACCACCCTACCAGCACCAGTGCCGAAGGATAACAATACTGGCGAAGCTGCCGTTTTGAGGAATATGAATGCGGTTTTCCCTCTGTCGACGACGTCGCCCTGGCGCTTGGTGATTACGGATCGCTATTACGCTTCCGTTAACCTAGTGTTGGAGCTCCTACATCGGCGTATATATTGGACGGGCATCATTCAGACCGATCGTTCAGGGTACGCAAAAGGAATCATGACTAAGAAGGAGGTAATGCACGCGAACAAGCAGAGATTTGTGGCCCCCGCTCAACACAGTATGAAGCCGGCGGAAAACAAGCAATTTATTCAAATAACAGCGGTAATGTGGATGGACTGTAACCCCGTCCATCGGCTATCAAATGAAGGCAGCAGAAAGACGGCCACAGTCAGTTCGTGCATGCCTTGCGTTCTCCGCTTGCTTTATCTAACTTGGTGTTGCGTGTAGTGCATCGTCTCAAACGAAAGATGCAGCTCGTACCTGCTCCCAAGCTAGTCCGCGATTATCATGGGTGACGATGTTCACGACCAGCTCCGAATGCAACGCTACAGCGTACAGATCAGCTACAAGACATAAGTATTACAAGGGCCAATTTCTGGAGATGTTTGTTATGGCGCTCATGAACACGTTTATCATGTTCCGCCATCACTGCAAAGAAAACAACAAATGTCCGCCGAAGCACTACGCAATTTTGGAGGCGCTAATGGAGAAGCTGGTTGCCGTAGACCCCCGTGAAGAGTACACGACAATCGTGGTACGTTATGATTGCTATGCTATATTTACTTATATGTTCGGGAAGCCTAACGTATGTTGTCCTATGCTGGCTGAAGCGCAGAGAGCGACAAGAGAGAACAGCGGCGTCTCCGGCGCTTGAAGGTGGCCCTCCATCGTCTGCAGCTGGCGCTGCATGCGACTTCGGTGGACATCGGCTGGATGAGAATCCAACCACAGTGGACAACGAGCAGGGACTTAAGAAGCGTCAGCGCTTCTGCAAAGTCTATGCGCTGTGAGCAAGGAGTAGCCAAGGAAGTACACAAAAAACTTCTGCCCAGAGTGTTCAAGCGGAAATCAACGGTACGCTATATTTATGCTGAGGGAGAACGAAATGTGTGCTAACATTGCTATCCACAGGAAACACGCCTGCAACCTGGCGCAGGGCAGAGAGAAAAACCGCTTCGCAATATGGCATGACGACTGGAACTAGGGCAACAACATTCCGCGCAGGTTGCTCCAAGAGCACAAAATCTGCGCGACCGTCCCCCTGCATCGCGTCCAGGGAAGAGACGTCGGCGCCGGTTGTCTGCTGATCGAGAGGAAGGTAATGGAAGCGCAGATTACGAAGTGATCACGGCGCAGATGAAGCGTAGGCTAGTGGCATATGTCCTTATTTTTCATTCGTCGCAGGGAGCAATCACTTGAAATTCCAATGGTTTTGTACTGTTTTCGTGTAACGGGCCTAGAGTGTCCATTACTAGCTTACACGTAACAATGAGGAAGCGTACAAGCTCCACGATAGTGAAACCAAGTGCTTAGTCTGAAGGGAAATCAACTCTGTTTTAATTTAGGTCCAGGGCAGCTTGCCCTGACCACTCAAATACACGTCAGCTCCTTATTGGTTGATAATGGGTCTGGCCCCCCATATATCAACCAATAGGATGACGGCAGTTCAGCACACACTAGCCGTGTGCTGCTGCACCTACTTTTGTAATATAATTCTACCTACCTATGTAATGGTGTGGCCAACTACATTACCCCCCCTTCTTAAAGTTGCACTTACGCAACATAAGCGACGGGCGGAGAACAAATCAATCAAAAGGGAAACGAGTAAAAATCGTGGCCAGCAGGAGCGGACGATAAAACAGCAGCAGCAGATTCCAGCGACGGCGACGTCGCTGACGAGCGCGACGACCGCGGCACGCGGCACCCACGTGATGGACGAGGCGCTGAGACCCTGGCCGCTGTATGACATCTCTGGAGCGCAAGATCCGGAACCTCTGGACGAGATGAAGGACCGCTTCCGGCGTTTTCGTGCGCTGCGCCAGAATCCGGTGGACGGCGTCGACCACAGTGCGCTGCAGGAGTCGTGGTGCGCCTTCATCCGGCGCTGGAGCCGGACGCAAGCGCAGGAAGAGAATCTCGTCGCCTGGATCGCATACCGGGAAGAAATCATCGGGGGCCATTCCTTGGGCGAGCTGCGTGTACGAATCTGCGACAGCGCTTGGAGCGACGACGACCGTATCTGCTACGTGCGAGTTGCTGAAGGCTGCAGGAGGTGTGTGTCGTCTCGCCCGACTACGGACGAGTGGAGAGGCCCATGTCGCCGAGCATCCGCTCAGTGATGGCGAGAAC